ATGTATTTATTCTGCCATGGCATGTACATGGAAATCAGGACTTTCTGGGAGTTAGTCCTCCTCTTACCTAAGACAAGGTCTTTCCTTTTTCTCCTGCACTCCATAACGAGCTTCCGGGTGATTCTTCTGTCTGTCTTCTATCTTGCTGGGATTACAGAGGTTAGCCACCACATCTGGCTTACTATGTGGGTCCCAGGGACCAAGCTCAGGCTATAAGTCTTGTGTAACAAGTGCTTTTCCCTGCCTAGCCATCTCAACAAGTCTTGCCTAGTATTTCATGAATTGATCCCATCTCCATCCTTACCGGCACTACCTTTGTTCATATTATTTTCTTTCTTTTTGTCTTGGCTTTTTTTGTTTTTGACTTTTTTTTTTTGAGACAGAATCTCATGTAGCCCAGGCTTGTCTCAAACTTACTGTATAGCTGAGGTTAGCTTTGGATTGAAGGTATATGGCCACCATGCCTGGCTTATATTTTCTTTTCTTGATTATTCCAATAAGCTGTCTGACTGGTCTTCCTCTTCTAAACTTCTCATCCTTGGACTGTTTTCCACCAGTCACATGATTGACTTACTGAAAAAAATCTCAGCTGGGCATGGTTATATATGCCTTTAATCCCAGTATTCAGGAGACAGAGGCAGACAGATCTTTGTGAGAGGCCAGCCTGGTTTACATAATCAGACCCTGTCTCAAAAAATGAAAAATTTAAAAAGTACAAGTGAAGCCAGGGGTAGTGGCACATACCTTTAGTCCCAGCAATTCGGATGCCTGGAGGCAGAGGCAGGCAGATCTCTGAGTTGAGGCCAGCCTTGTCTCCATAGTGAATCCCAGCCAGCTGTGGCTATAGGGAGACCATGTCTCAAAAAGACCAAAAAAAAAAAAAAAAAGTGTGATTGATCCCATGTAAAATGAGAGGGCTTGCAAAGTAGAGTGAGCACAGATGGTCCAGGAAGTCATCCTAGAGTTGGTGAGCATGAAATAAACAAGGCAGACATGGAAGGCTACTAAGGGCCTGCTGACTCAAGCTGGCCTTGAGTGACAGGTGAGAAGCAGGTAGGTTAGACAGGAGCAAGAATCATTTGGCCCAAAGAAGCTTTATAGATGCACAGAACCTGGAACAGTGGAACCAAGACTTTAGGGAAGAATTTGCCTTTGGTTTGCCTTCCTTCCTTTGGTTTTTTAAAAAAAAAAAACACATGCCTTTTATCATGTTATTTGAAATTTCAGGCAAATATGACTTAAAGTATATTGAAGTAACTCTTCAAAGTCTATTTTCTTTTAAGACTGTGAATATCCCCTTCCTTTTGCCAGTCTGCTTTCAAGATCACTGACCTGGTTTCTCTCCCGTATTTGGTAGGAGAAAACAAGGACGAGATGAGACTCACTCCTGGCTACATAGTCTGTGAGGGCCTGGACTGAGATTCAGACTGTGCTGAGTAGCTGCAGTGTCCCTGGGCTTTCTGCTCCCAGGTATTCCCAGGCATGGAACTGGGACAAGGGAGCATTATTCCCAAGCCCAAGCTCTCTAGTCACTTGACATTGCCACATATCTGTCTGGTACTGGAGAAGCACAAAGAGCAGACTCAAGGGGTGGTGGACCTGCCAACTCTATCATCTTTCCCTGCCTTCCCTAGTCCTCTGAAGCTTTGGAGTTCATGAAGCGGGACCTGACAGAATTTACCCAGGTGGTACAGCATGACACAGCCTGCACCATCGCAGCCACAGCCAGTGTGGTCAAGGAGAAGCTGGCTGTAAGTACTACCCACATTTGAGTGACCATCCCTCACAGCCTGGCCTGCTCTGATGGGGACCCCAACTTTCTCTAATTAGGTGATTATTTTTCCCCTGAAGTGAGAAATCTGGATATTTTCCTCCAATTTTGAAAGAAGTTTTTCCTTGCCTATATTGTTTCAGCAAGTGTTTTCCATTAGCAAAACCATTCATTGTAGAAAACACAAGTGTGGAGTGTGTCTGAATGTGGGTATGTAACTCAAGACCAACCAACCTAGAAGACACTCAAAATCTCTTCTCATTCTCATGAAGATAACTATTGTTAGTATTTGGAGGCTATACCTCTATATATACTTTCTTTTTAAAAACTGAGACCAACTAAATACCCTTTTTGGGGGGAATAGGGTCTCCCCATAGCCCCAGCTGGCTTGGAAGTCACTATGTAAACCAGGCTGGCCTGATCTCACAAAGATCTGCTTCCTTAGTTGCTGGAATTAAAGACATACGCCACAAAGCCCAGCTTAATACCTTTT